CCTCCTAACGAGCCTTGCTCCCACCCTCTTGGAGATTGTTGTTTTTTCTTAATTCCTAAAACTGCTTTCCCGTACAGAGAGACCCCTCTTCCAGCCACGGAGCAATTATTCCCACACAGTTGCGACGTCTCGGTTTTCTTTCCCGGGGCCTCCCGTCCCCCGCGCGCGCACACACGCAGGCACACGCACGCCCGAGGCCGCCGCCTCCCATCCCGAATGCAAGCCCGCTTCCTCTCGCCAGTTGCTGTAGTTAAGCTAAGTCAGTGCTACATCAAACTAGGCTAGGCTGAGAGAACGGGAAAGTGGATTTAGGGGACAATACTGCCCCAGCAGGAAGAAAGGCTCCAGCTTGGCATTCTGTTGATTTAACAGTTAAAAACGAAAACGGATTTTGTAGCTTCTGCACTAAAACTCAGGCCCTTGAGTCACAATTCTTCAAATCGAGCTATTCTGTTAAGTCTGTTATGTTATAAAAATTAAATATAAAATGACCCACACACGATGCTATATGAGGACCACACCAACCTTTCTCTCCATCTTAATGATCCAGTAGCTGAAAGTTTTTTTTCTGCCATTCCTTACTTGCTCCCTCCAACTCTTCATACAGGTATTTATAGTTAGCNTGCCATTCCTTACTTGCTCCCTCCAACTCTTCATACAGGTATTTATAGTTAGCAAAAATCAAATAAAAATGGGTGTATCTGTGTAAGATGCTCTTACAAGTATTTGAGTCCTCAAAAAAAAACAAAAAACACACACACACACACAAAAAAAACCCTTGAAACAACCTGTTATAGGCAATTTATTTTGTTTTGTTTCTGAATCCCTTTTCAAATGCTGCCCATTTTTATTCAAACCAGTTGTGTTTTTCTAAGAGTTCACACTTGAGGTTGAAATCCTCTGTGAAATAAACATTCCCACAGCGACCCAGTGATGTCACAGACGTGGGCTCATGATTTCAGAGGGGAAATAAAGCAGGAGACATGGATCTCTCTAGAAAGACAGCTTCTGTTGTCTTGCACAGAGGCTTGCTTCTACTAGAGATTCAGAAAATACATTAGATTTCTCGCTAAATACCTGTTTTCTCTTTTCTGAGATTGACTTATTTTTCAAACATATGTCAGATGATCTTTTTAAAAAAATAAGTCATCCTCCCCTTTCCTGGGTTCGTGACAAATGGTGCTTCAAATCGGTGGTCCCTCACTGCACTGGCCACTATAGATTTTAATAAAGGGGAAAGGATCGTTTTTTCTAAAAAAAAAAAAAAAAATGATGTTGGAAAGAACGTTGAGAGATGCAATTTAATGTACTAACTTCAGACCCAAATAATGCTGACGGACCTGGCCTCAAAAATACAATCGTTTTTAAGAAGTATTAGACTCACAGAAACTCTATTTCGTTATCCGAGTTAGTGCTGACCTCACCGATATTGAACAGAGGGGCTTCTCCTCCATCGCTCCCTCTGTTGTGTCCTGTCTCCGGGCTGGGAGGAAGAGAGACACGTTCTTCATGCTGTTCCCCATTTCAATCCCAGGGCAGTCCCACTCTTATATTCATTGTAAAGGGACTGGACACTATAAAATTAGGCCCAACACCTGGGATTTCTTAGGCTTCCTGTCTAAATAAAGTCCTTTAGATAATATTTATACAAAGCACTATAGAAATTTAGTTTGTAAAAGTGCTTTTTATATATAGTGTTTTAGCTCAAGTTCCCATCTGTTCCTGCAGCCACCTGGCCTCAGTTCAGGTCCCACTTCTACTCCAATGGAAGTTAATTCTCTCTCTGTGACCCCCTTTCCTACTTGTTGACTGGTTGGACTTCTCACAACAATCCTGGAAGAATCAGGACTCTTGATCCCCATTTCATAGATGTGGAAACAGGCTCAGAGATGCTAAATAACCTGCCCCAGGTCACCCAGCTGCAAAGTAGTAAGAATTGAACCCAAACTGTGTGACCCACCTCCTCTCTCATCCAGATCTAACTGGACTCATAGTAGCCCTGCTCTTACATGATCGTTTCATATGTCCCCCAAAAAACAGAGCCAGTGGTTCCACTCCCTACCTGCCCAAATTGGGGATAAATATACATTTGTGAGATGTGTTCATTTAAAAACTGATTATACGCTAGTTGAATGGACCCTGTTAGGAAGCTATTATTATTTTTGTTTTATAGATGATGAAACTGAAGCTCAGGAAGAGACCCGACTCCCCATCCTAGCTACATCTAGCAAGTGGCAGAGCTGGGTCTTGAACCAAAGACTTCTGGTCTGTGACTTCCCTTTTTCTGAAATTTAGTCTCTCCCATCTTCAAACACATGGATCTACTGAGCAGGCCCAGGGCCTGCAGAGACATCAGTGAGGGAGAGGCAGGAACAGGTGGAAAGAATCTCCTCTGAGCAACAAACAGGGGAACATCTGTATAAATGAAGTCTGGCCTCCAGCCACAAGCATTTGGCTCCCCTCAAATCTCCAGCTCTCTCTTCTTTAAACAGAAAAGGCCCAAAGAGCACCACCTGGATAGACTTGTGATAAAATGCCTCCCTCTTTGCCCAGCTTGCTCCTCTGCAGGGCAGCCCTTCTGCCCTGAAAGAATTATTCCTCGGTAGGTTTGTTCACCTGGCATTAGCACAGTAACATGGAGGTTTGTTTGTTAGTTCCCAACAACATAAAAACAAGCCACCCCCCTCTACCCCCACAGGGGCCCAGAACAGATGGAGACAACCAATCCCTTGGGAAACAGAGGGAGCTGCTCTCTCATTGAGAAAAGATCACCCCAGACACCTTGCCAACTCCTTGCTGTGCAGTACACAAAAGTCTGAAGATGGAAACCCAAGACAGAGAAAGTTCTTGATTTCCAAATCCACTGTGGTTGGTTTTCTCAAGGCAAACCAAACTTTCTTCTGCATGCATTCCTCTGTCTTATTGCCAAGTCACAATTTACCACACTCGAAAATCCATAATTTGTTGAATTGCTATCATTCCATTAATGAGGAAATCCATCTTTATTCATAAACCCTTCCCCCCTCCCCTAAGAAATAAGTTTTGCATTAATTTCATATTGGTAATTGGTTGGTAGTCCAGATGAGGCTGGGTGTTTTCCTTGTTTATAAATGAGGTGCATTAGCACACTCATACCACTAGGGTGTCATTTAGTGAATGGCTGCTCTGCTCTGCAGATGCGAGAGGCCAAATTGCTGTGGATGTTGATAAAAAACGATCGCTTTGGCTAAAACTGCAGATGGGAAGCAGATGTAATGTACAGAGGAAGTTTGATTTTATTCAGTCTCCTTTCGTTATTAAAATAAAGTCTGCTAATTTGTCTTATTTTAAAAAGCTCTTTGAATACAAACTCATGTGTTAAATCCATGCAAAGTGAAAACTGTCTCACTCCTGCCTTCAAGAAGTTTACAGTCTCGACAAATGTTTGTTCTACTTGTTTTTGTAGTTACCAATTTTTCTTGGTAATTGTTTAAAATTTTGCATCCTCTCACCAAAATTATAATTTCCCTGGGGAAGGATTAACGTTAGGAAGTCGTGAGCCCTGGCTGGTGTGACTCAGTGATTAAAGCATCGGCCCGAGGACCAGAGGGTCATGAGTTTGATTCCCTGTCAAGGGCACCTACCTGGGTTTCGGGGTCACTCCCTGCCTTGGGTACGGGCTAGTGTGGGGAGGCAACCAGTCCATGTGTCTCTCTCACATCGATGTCTCCCTCTCTCTCTCTGTCTCCTACCCCTCCCTCCCTTCCACTCTCTGAAAGAGCAATGGGAAAAATATCCTCAGGTGAGGTTTAACCAAAAAATAAAAAGAAGTAGTGAGACAAGGAAAAGTTGCGAGGGCAGAGGAAGGGTGTAACAAACAAGAAGATGTCCTGTGAAAAGCAGAGACCAGGGAAGCAAGGAGGAGCTGCAGTTACTGCAAAGGGAAACTAAGAAACTGAGGCAGAAAATGAACCTCAGGATAACTACAGCAATAATAATACCGAACGTGCGTTGAATGCTTAAAATAGGCCCAGCGTGATGTTAGGCACAGGGCAGTCTCTCCTACTTCGGGCTTCCCTGAGACAAGACTGGAGGGAGGAGGCGATCCTAGGAAGCACTGGGAAGGAAGTAGGGGAAGTGAGAGGAGATCGAAGGAAGCATTACCATGGCAACCAGAGCAGACTCCGGCTTGGGAACCACTGGGAGGCAGTGGAGGACACGAATTTCCAATTGACCCCATGCAAGGGGTGAG